ATGACTTTTTCTCTTGTTTTTTGACCATGACTGAACACGCACATCTTTGGGCAGGGTATACGATTGTTTTGTTGTGACTTTGTCTTTTTTCCTGTGTACTAATCGAGTTCTGTTCTGAAAGCAGCTTCTAATGCCAGAAACCTGTGACGGTTAGAAGGGACTTTGCTACAAGCCTTTGAACACGACGAGTGCTTACAGCAGCTGGTGGCTGTGGCAGCCCAAGCCCTGCAGCCGTGGGACTTTCCTACCAGGATTGCGTGTTGGAAGCCTGCTTAAAAGAGCATTAGATAAAGCAAGGATGAAAATGTGCTCTAAAAGAAAGCTCTTTGGTTGGCCCTTTTTGTTTCTTCTTGATTCCTAATAGTTCTGCAATTTTCTGAGAAATCCTCCAATAAAAACAGGGCAGTCAAACAGTTTTTTCCAGCTCAGCATGAAGGGAGTCAGATCTCCTTTCCACACAAGGAATGAGTATCAAATAGTACTTTTTCCATTTTGTGGGTCACTTTTTTTGCTTCAGTATCATCAAGTGTGAAGGTATTTTCTTTCCTCCACAATATTCCATTCAAAGTACAGTTTCTTTTTGAGGTGTTACTGTTCTCCTCCCTGTCTGCTCAGTTGAGTTTCCTCTATTTTTCCCATCACTGCTCACCAAAAGCAACAATTTCAGAAGCTCTTGCTCTGTTCTCGCTTTTCTGCAGACTCGGGTGTGCTTTTAGAAGTTCTGACACACAAACAATTATTTTCATAATTTCTTCCTTTTCTTGTAGACCTAATAGAAAACTATTTCTGGATTAGAAGAAAAGCCTCTCGAGATTAATCCTATTTGCTTAGCTGTATTTGTAGAAAAACCTTTGGCAAGGGGAAACGTGAGAAATAGAAATAGAAATTTCTTTATGCCAAGGTAGTGTTCATCGTGGCCAGGCATTTCAGTGCAGCCCTGGTTTAACACAAACTGTCAGCTTGATGCAAGGCCAGGGGGTGTCAGCTCCAGCAGCTCTTCGTACACCAACTCGTTCTGACACGACTCTCTATGAGAATCATGTGAGGATTTTTTTTGTTTTAAAGTTCCTGATAGCAGATCTCTGCAGAAGTGTGGATTGAAGCAGACCTCCAAAGAAAAAAATTAAAAAAACGGGCCGTTCCTTAGAGAAAATTGAAATGAGCTCCTAAGATATGCATGCTACATCAATATGCATGAGCGATTTCTGTAGAATATAAGCTCTACAAAAGATGGTGTTTTTTTAGCGTTTAGGAAACATTTCTGTCTGAATGAGTGACTGTCAAAGTGGCGTGTTTGAAAAGCTTTTCTTCTGTCGAGAGATGAAACTTCAGCTCTTCAAATAACATAGCTTATCAGGGAAGCAAGCTGAGGCGTAGTTGTCTTTGTGCTTTCCAGTCCCAGCAAGGTACCTGCAGAGCTTCTTTGCAAATCCTTTTGATGTTGTCTTGTCCAAGAGTGCTGTGCTGTTTCTCATACTTCTGAAGTGTGAATTTTGCTTATCTTGGAGAGTGAGACCCCAGGAGGTTACCCTTGAGACAGAGAAATCGCTGTTCTCTACTTCAAAAAAAAACAAATGGACGTGTTTAATGTGATGATGTTTCTTCTTTGTCCTACCTTCAGAATCTAATTTTATCCAGCACAAGGTAAATTCTTCTTTTATAACTCTGGAAGACTTCCTCTTAAGGCAGAGCAGTTTCCTCTTGGCGCTCTTGCTATCATTATTAACACTGTGCTTGCACTAAACATGAGCATTGGTCACGTTTGGCCCATTTCTGACAACCTGCAATCCTCTGTCACTAGGATGACAGAGTTAAGCTGATGCAAGAGGCTTCTGAAATGACCGTGTTCCTCTTGGAAGGTGAAACTGGTCCCAGCCAGTCTCATTTTCAAATTTCTGCCCACCCTGGATGCAGAGAAAGAAGCCTGGTCTTGAATTTTCTCCAAGTTCAGCTTTTGTCTGAGCTGATCTGTGATCAGCTTGCTATCTGTAATAGTGAGAAAATGGGGGAATGCTGAACGATGGGAGGATAATTTCTCTTTGTGGAGATTGTGGTCAAGCATTGGGACGTGCTGCCTGGGGAAGTGGTGGAGTCCTCATGGCAGGAGGTGCTTAATAGCTGTGTGGATGTGGCACTAGGGGGTGTGGGGCAATGATGGGGCTTGGTGATCCTGAAGATCTTTGCAAATGTAAAAGATTATATGATTACATGATTCTAAATAAAAACAGCATGATTATTGTTGTCTGATTTCAAAATGTTCTGGAGTACTGAAGTAGAAGCGTTGGCACAGTTTTGCTATCACTGACAAAAGCTAAGATAGAAGTGCAGCATCTTGAATGCATTGCTTTCTACACCGTGGTCCACAGAAGTGCTTTCCTGTAATGGCCTGCTGCCAGCAGCACATTGAGTGGGCCATCCCACAGCTTCTTTGTGTCTTCTGAAAAGAGAGAAGAGTAAACAAAGTGGAGTTTTTCAAAGATAACTTTTTCAGTTTGTTTTGTGCCTGAGATGAGGCATTACTGTTCTTGGATAATGTAAAACTCTTGTGCCACCCAGCTGCTAATAGGGGATCACAGCTCCTTCTGAAATATTTCATAGGTTTGAGGTCTTCCATTGTATAAAACTTCTGACTGTCCAGAAAATGCTTTGCTGTTGAAAACCTACTTGTCTTATGCTTGTTTTCTTCAGTATCTCCAGTAGTATTGGCCCCCAGTGGTTTCCACATCTGCAGCCTGAATTACCAGCCTTGTTGGTGAGCAGGACGTGGGCTGTCTTGTGGTGAGACTCCACCTGCTGTAATCAACAGGCAGAGCCCAGCCTCATATATTACCTGTTCCTGTTCCCTCTGTCTGTAGGGTGTAAGAACAAATCCTTCCATGCCAAACAGACTGGCTCTGGGACTTTGTTTGCAAGACCTCGTGTGCTTCAGAGGGAAAGTACCAAAATCCTGTGTGTTGGGGCTTTTGTGAAACTGGACTCACATCACAAACATGACTTTTACTCTTGAGTGCTTTTATGACACAATCAATAAAATGAGCATTACAGCTGGTCCCATCAGGGCTTGTAGGCAGAGCAAATTCGGAATGGTCACAGGAGCTTTATTCTTTGTCTGCTACCACGAACAAATGGATGCATGGCTGGGAAGTGGACTTTGGCTGCTGGGAGGAGTTGGGTTCACATGCAGGGCCAAAAGGGAATTTCTTTGTGATAGGATTTCTCTGAAACATGTTCTAGAACAAAAAGAAATAGCTTTGCAGAATCCTTGCTCTTGATTTCAAGTTTCTTCAGAGATAGACTGCCTCTGGATCTGTTAACCTGGCATCCTTCTAGAACATTAATTCTGTGTCTTGCTAAGCGATTTGATTCAAAACCATTTCACTGTTAGGCTAGTTTGTTGGATGTAAGGAGTGAATGCTAGTGTCTGTATTTATAATTTCTCATTCTCAGAAGAACTTGTTAATTACCATATCTTCTGGGAACAGACAGCTCTGCCCTTTGTTCATGGAGCTGTGATGATGCACCTCAGGCTGTGAAAATGCAACTGAAGAACTCATTTTCATGTGTTACAGATGAACTTCCCATTTAAATCTGGTGCTCTTGTTTGTTTGTTTGCTTTTGTCAGGGTGGTTTTCTTACTGCTACTGGGAAATAATTTAGTTACTATTAGGGAGTGATTCGTTAGCATGTGGTTTGCATTTGCAGGAAGCCTGTCTTGTAGAGACCACGTTGCTGATGCTTTCCACTGAGCAGAGCTAGCCTGCTGGCTGCAGAAAGGTGCCTCGCTGCCCCACTCTCCTCACAGCAGCACCCAGCTGCCTCCTCAGGACGCTCCCCCTCTCAACCTTCTGACATTGACAGATGGCAGTGCAGGGTCGGGGCCATATCTGATGGCAGCAATAGGTCAGTTGTGTTGTGCTGCACCTCTTCGAAGGGCTGGTTTTAAAAGGGTAATGGATATGTTGCAGTAGTGAGCAGAGCCTGTTTTATAGGAGTGAGCTTGTTTTTCTTCCGGGGCTGTGCAGGATCATTTGTGGCTGTGTTACCAACGTGTCAGATTCCATGATTCACCTGAAGTGGGATTCGAGATGGCTCATGGCTTCTCAGCTGATGATTGGGACTGACAGCTTGTCAAAAAATAGAAATTAAAAAAATCTCTTCCTGCAGCTGGGTCAGAAGAAGTGGTGTTTCTGTATGTGCAGCAGATGGATGCTGTGGTGACAGCTTTTCTTGGAGCAGGAGGGGCAGAGCTCCAGGAGGGTCATTGAGGCACAAAGGGTCCGAAGGCCAATTTTCTTCTGGAATAAGCTAATACATAGAACCAAAGTAGATCTTGTTCACTTGTACCCTTGTAACATGACTTCTCGTGTTGTGTTGCAGTATTTCAGAATGCTCAGGTGCTTCTGGCTGGCACGGTCTGTGCTAACACTTACCAGGAACCCGTATGATGTAAGCCAGTCTGCATGGCAATAGTCCCTACCAGAGGACGTTTCCATCTTCCTGCTCTGTTCTGGTGTACAACGACTTTTTCTACAATGAAAGTCTGGGGAAAAAAAGATTGTGGAGAGAGAGAGAGAGAGAGAGAACTTTTTTCCCCTGCCCGTCGCTATCACAGCACAGCTGTGCTTGCAGCTTGCTGCAGCTTCCCCAGCCCTGAGAGCGGTGTCAGCTGCGCTGTGTGGAGCGAGGACCTGACCCCAGCTGGCCTGGTCCTAGCGAGAGGTGGCTGCAACCAGGGCAGCTGTTCAGCTCATCCTGCCTTTCCTCGATTCCTTTCTTCTGGTGCTGCTGTGGCTGTGTGAGTTACTTTAGGTACATCTGTGCTTCATTCCAACTTGTACACCACAGGTACACTGGCTGTAAAAATTATATCTAGTAATTTAATGGGAATTGAGTATCACTGTTTTGCTGTCTGCACAATTTATTAGTCTTACAAGAAAATTGTGGCCTTAAGCAGAAGTTTGTCCTCAAAATATGCTTCACTTTTTGTTTTTTTCTCCTAGGTATCGCATGCTGTTGCAAAGCTCGTGTTAGTTAGCTTCCACTGGCAAATCTCAGAGATTTTGGAAAGGTAAGTAACCTTATTTATTCTGTGCTTCATGCTTTTCCCTCTCTCTGCAAGAATGCTTAGGGTGTCCTGTAGTGTATTTTGACAAGTGCCTTTGAACCTGAAAGCAGGACGCACGGCATGTCAGGGAGCAGAGGAGGAATGCTGTTTGCTGAGGCTGTGCTGCCTGCAAAGAATTTGTGAATAAGGAGATGGCAGTGTCAGCAAATGTCTTTCAGTCCAAGGAATTATTGACATGCTGGAAACTGCGCTGATATGCTGAGCTTAAACAACAGGACCGAGAGTGCTGCTATATTTATTTAGAACACATAGAGATAACATATGGTCTGTTGTGAACATATGATCTGTAAATCATAAAGCAGCGCTGAATGTACAATTTATTAATACATTTGCTTTGAGGTTTTTGTTCCTTCTGAACATAAGTGATGTTTTTTTTCCAAGCTGAATAGCGTTTGGAGAGCAAGAGCAGATGCTGTGAGAGAACTGCTGAGTGCAGCCCCTCTGTTGCTTGGGCAGCATCACCCTGCAGTGAAGTCCTCTAGCTGATTTCAAAAGGAGAGTTCAGACTCTGCCCAGATATACATGGGAAGTGTGTCAGGAGGCACTGCTGTCTGGCAGCCCCTCCTGAAAGTACTGGCTCAGAGCTGAGCATTGTCTGAAAATAGAGAGCACATCAGGCTGACTCATTCTGCTGTGCCATTTTTGGCCCCATTAGCCACCAACTTCATCCAGAGAACATATGGGAAATGCACCTCATGTATGGGTACTGTTGCAGCATCTCTGGTAACTGACTTGTCTGTTGCTATGCGTCCTGTGAGAGCTTTTCTCTGAGGAGTGTGGAGGGTGAGATTCCTGCACAGCAGTCAGGGTGATTGTGCTGGTTGACTAACAGGATTTAGTCAGGAGAAAGCACAGGGAAGGGCTTAATTCTGCAACAGTGACTTTGCAAGTTGTTCTCCTGTTGATCTGGTCCTCAAACTTCTGTCTTGGTATGAAGCAGCATTATCAAATTACAGCCTGGTCATACCCCCAGTGCAGCTTTGTATCCTTGAATTCACTGGTGGTTTTTTTTTTACTGGAGATTGCTCTATGATAGCAATCACTAACAGCAAGATGTGTTTACCTCTAAGGCTGCTGACAGACAGCTTCATATACCTAAAAGGTGATAATCTGTCATAAAGTAAATATTTAGCTATATAGCAGACTGGAGCCAAAGCAAGACCTACACAGGAGAGCTTGATTTTGCAGAGGAATAGGAGACAGGCAGGAGCCTCAGCAGAGCATGTTATCATGGTGATGAAACAATGCAAAATATATTCAGAAGTGGATTTGATCATTTTTTTAATTGTCTTTTCAGGCACAAGTCAAATGCTGCCCAATTGCTAGTAGAAGCACGAGTTCAGCCCACCTCATCCAAACATGTAAGTATGCTCACTGTTTGGGTCTGTTCCCCTTGGCAGAGAAACCTCTGACCCACCTCATTGGAGGGCTGCATTACTGATGGGCCTGTCCCATGTTCACTCTTTGCAAACTCAAGGTCCTACACCCTAAATCTGCTCGGGGTTGGCTTTTTAAAGGGTGCTGCTCTGCCTAGCAATGCTTAAGCCAATCTCCCAGTGGTGTTCTGGCTTGGGCCAGCAGTAGCAATACTTGAAACAAATGCTTGCCTTTTGCAGCTGGGGCTGTGGGGTCCTTGGATACTTTTGTTTTTTCTCCTTTAAATAGAAATGCTCTGTTACTTGTTTACAGAATTCGTTCCCAGAGTGTGGTCCAGTACTCCAGGAACACATTGCAATGTGTTACATTTTGAGTGATAAAATGTTACATATGAAAAAAGCAGTTTAGGCTGTGGGAAAGAGGGATTTTCAAGGACATGAAAGCCTGCTTTGGCATCTGAGCTGTCTTTTAGCTGACATAGAGTCAAACACTAATGCAGCTGGCAACAGTAAGCTTCATGGACTCAAATTATCTGTCTAGAGTCCAGAAAAAAATCTTTGTTATTTGACATACCTCAAAGGAGTACGTGTATTTTGAGATCTGTCTGAATAATTTGTCATTTAAGTACCCTTCGTTGCAATGGTGATTTCATTTTTGGAGGAATGAAGTTACAGTTCAGAGGTTAATTTAAGTTTGGCAAACTTGGTTTGATATGCAATACATTGAGATCTATTTGTATGTGCTATGGCAAGTTGCTCTGTGGTTCAGCTCCTAATGCAAAATACTGATATTTCTGGGGAGTTCTTTGTGTATGCTCATACTATAGAGCATCTGGCCTTGTAGAGAGAAACTATCATGGTAAGCTCAGAGAGACAGCTTTCAAAGTTTTGAGGTAGTGTGCTTGCTATTCAAGTTGAGCAGTTGATCTGGCCATCAACACGATTGCCAACTTAATGAATCTTGTTTTGGTCTGCTTAGAACAAAGTCGCTTTATTTCTTTTTCATGTGGTCATGCTACAAAACAAGCTTTACTGGTCATGTGGCTGGGTGGGTGCTGATGCTGCTGCATCCCTGGCACAGAGAGCTACTCATGGAAGCTCACTGCTGTCTCGCTAGCTTCTCAGAGAGTAACACACGTTTAAGTAGATGAAAAGTGATTAGGTGACTTATCTGTGAAAGGGGAAATAGGAGCTCAAGCTTCTGCTAATAGCATTGTAGAACCTCACTTTTGGTAATGCTGTGCTAGACAGTCTTTCAGGTCCCAAGGGTGAGCCAAAATGTGTGAGAGGCTCTATCTGTTTTCTGGGGGTTAGTTCTGCACTACCCGCAGGGAGACCAGACAGCTTCCCAGTGAAAGAGTACCAGAATTGTGTCTGACTTGAAACAAACCCTCACAGCTTAAGAGATGAAGCTATTCTGCCAAATGTAGTATAGGCAGAAGTGATGCAAGAAAGAAAGTTCCTGAACTTTCTGATGGTCCATAAACAGTCTTTTCTCTTTATAAACATTTGGCATGCAATACCTTCGTTTGTATGTCCAATATGATACCCAAAATTACAATCAAGTAAAAAGACACTGCTAAGTCTGCTTCCAGCTAGAGCTGCTCTCCCAGGCCTGTGGAACAGCTATTGAGTCCAACCCAGCTAACAACAAATCCCAGTAAATTCAGGGAAGAAGTGAACAAAAAGGACATACGCAGTGATGTATTTACTCATTTTCCAAACAAGGAAGACGATAGAACTAGAAAAACAAAGGTGAACTTTGGGTAGCACTAGATGAAAGGCAGGAGCTGTTCAGCGGCTGTTCATCCGCTGTGCTCCGTGAGCTTGACGAGGTTCATGAGAAGGGCTGATAGTGGGGGCAGGGCAGCACGCCGGTCACTTAGGAGCCTGTTCTGGCTTGGAGCTCATCCGAGACTGCCGTCGCAAGGAAAGTGCTGCAGGTATCTGTGGATGAGGTGAGAGTACCCAGCGCTGCAGTTGATTTCACTGTGATGCTGCTTTGTCTCTCCCAGGCAATGGTACATTCCTCCCATCACTGCGCTGTGTGCATGCAGTTTGTCCGGAAGGAGAACTTGCTTTCTCTGGCTTGTCAGCACCAGTTCTGTCGCAGCTGCTGGGAGCAGCATTGTACAGTGCTTGTCAAGGATGGTGTTGGAGTTGGTAAGTTCAAGGCGGATTTGGCAGTGGATCTGTGTTTGACATCTTGGTTGCTCTGCAGGTAACGGTCTGAATTGTTTCTCAGTAATGAGAAAATAGAGCATGGAATGGATATTTGTGATAAATTTCACTTTAACGAGCTGTTTTACCCGAATCCCTCATTAGTGTTGGCATACCGCCTGGAAAGCCCTACTCCTGCCTAACAAAACCTGCAATTCTGCAGATCCATTTGCTGCTCTTCTCCCCCTTCTGATCTCAAGAGCATGATTGTAACAAATGAGAAGTCAGAAATCTGCTGTATTTTGAGATTGCATCTCTGTGATGCGTTGTTTTGTTGCCCTGGAAATTCTTGTGGATACAAACACCTGTTCCATTTGTGTTGAGCAGAAGCCAGTAGTTGCTGGGCTTGGTTTGGGCTTCTCCTGGCCTGTTATTCTTGCTGATATGACAGTAACATGCAGTTGAATCCTGGTTGAAACACTTACTGCTCCTGAATACATTTGTGCCCTATCATCTTTCAGTGAAGACAGTTGGGCTCCAGCTTTTCAACGGCCCTGATGCATTCGATTGATCTGTTTCACAGTTGTGTCCCTCTTGCTACAACAACAGATGGCACCTAGGAAACTGTGTTGAATGCTATCTCTGTGTCTCTGCTATTTAGTACACGTTGCACTGTGCTGAAATGTTGCCTTCTTTTCTCAGGGGTCTCCTGCATGGCTCAGGACTGCCTACTTCGGACACCAGAAGACTTTGTTTTTCCATTGCTGCCTAGTGAAGAGCTGAAAGACAAATACAGGCGCTACCTCTTCAGGGACTATGTGGAGGTACTGTCTTTTTCACAGTTAAAATACCCTGGATCAATTCACCAATGACTTGCAGAAATCTTGTTTGAAGTGTCTTGCATCTCTGATTAGAGATGCAGTGACTACAGTGGAGTTGTCCTTCATAAGCATGATGTGGCCGCTTCTGTAGGGCGGCCTCACTGGCAAAATGCTCTAGCAGGTTGCCAAAGTAAATTCTTCTGTAAGGTCACCCAGGAACTTGTTGGCTGGTGCTGGACTCTTTTCCTGAAGTAGAATTCTCAGAATGTTTCAACTGAGAATCTCAAGCTTCCATCTCAGTTTTGGTCTCCTCCTTACTTTTATGTAGATATTTTAGGTTCTGGCAAATAAGTCTCATACTGCAGTGAAGCCCAACTGGATTGGTTTGCTTAATAACATTTCATTAGAGATTTATTGAAATTAAGGCAGACATATAAGATTAAATTTGTAGAAAGTATTCTGGTGACTGAGAGCTCAAAGAAACGGGAACAGTATGAAAGAATAGTGTCACCTCTCTTCAATATGTAGAAGGAAACAGCCACCACAAAAAAGCAGCCGAGTACAATTTAGGTTATAAAATAAGCATGGGGAAAGAGCTCAAATAGAGTAATAAAAGTGTTCAGTATCTTCGTGTGCTCACAGCCACATGTGTTGCTGTGCTTACTTGGGTCTGTAGTCCTCCATTTGAACTCCCTGTTGTGATGAGTGGCTAACATCACCTTTCCTAATGTGGGAAAGGTTCGGCTGCTCTGTTAGGCAAGGTCTGGTAACAGTTTTCAATATCTTTTCCAGTAAGAAAACACACTTGTCTTGTGTGTTTTAATGGGTAGGAGTAATTAGACTTGAACAGATAAATGCTCTTCTGCACCCTTTGCTGATTTTACCACATTGGTGTGTTCACAGAGCCATTACCAGCTGCAGCTGTGTCCTGGTGCAGATTGCCCTATGGTCATACAGGTACAGGAGCCAAAAGCCCGGCGAGTGCAGTGCAATCGTTGCAATGAGGTCTTCTGGTAAGAAACAGAAAAGGTTAAAGATCACGGGGAAATTGCTGTCCTCAGAGCTACTCCGTTTGCTTGCCAATAGGTTCAGTGTGTGAAAGCATCTCAAATGCTCTGCTAAAGTTGTTTGTAACCTGAGTTAACTTGAGTAACTGGACGCGTAGTGTCTGACTTCTGCAGGTGGTCAGCCTTCCCCTTGCTCTCAAAACTCCTTGGGAGCTGGGTGTTACGACAATCAGGCAACACTGATCTTGAGTAATGAAGGAGTTAAAAATCTTTTGTCCTTTGTTGGCTAGGTTACAAATTCGGGTAAAGCCAGAGTGAGTGGTAGAGATTCTGGTAATGGATGTAGAGATTTTTAAGTTATCTGCTGGTCTGGTGGTTTTAGGCTTTTTACAAGGATTTGATTACCGGAGTATCTGGTGTCTTTTGAGGCTAGAGTGAGAATACATTTTTCCTAAATAGGAACATTAATGTTCCCTGTTGGCTTTGAAGTGTCCTTGGTCACGTTTATGTCAGAGAAGGCCTCTTCATTCATCCCGATGCTGGTTTCTGCACATCAGAGTGGTGGTTTATTAGAGCTCTCACTATGCAGCCCTCAGCCTTTATTTTTGCATTCTGCTAATACACTGTGAATACATTGGCATCCCTTCCCCTTGCTCTGCTTCGCAGACTTTGGTCATCAGGAATACTTCAATTCTTGAGTCATTTCTGTGGAAATGGATATGTCATGCCTTTTTTTTTATCTCCTGTTAAGCTTTAAGTGTCGGCAGATGTACCACGCACCCACAGACTGTGCTACCATCCGGAAATGGCTCACCAAATGTGCAGATGACTCCGAAACAGCCAACTACATCAGTGCTCACACTAAAGATGTAAGAACAAGTACTGGCGTGTCTTTTCACGTCCTCTAGTCCTGCCTGGGAATCCTACAATTCTTCATATATGTAGCGTTTTCACAGGCTCTAAATTCTCTCGGCTCTCTGGGGACTGTGTTACTACAAACTGAATGCACTGGGAATGCAGACAGTCCAGCTGACCTCCTGCAGTAAGGACAGGATGGTGGTCTTGGTTCCTATTCCAGGTCTTGTGTGAATGTCTTTGGAAGCCAGCTGTGCTGCCCTCCCACGGGCAAAAGGCAGAATTGTGACTGCTTGGAATACACAGCAAAGGTGTATTTCAAATGGGGGGAGAGGGTGTAGTAAATGCAGTTAGTGAACTCTAGTGGTGCTCTAGTCTCAACATCTGTGTGGGGGAAGGTGAGAGAGATAAGGTCCTGATTTGGCAATAACAACAAAAGGGGGTGGATGAAATGGATAAATTGTATTCTGAAGTACTTCTGGTGGATTTAAAACTGAGAAAGAGAAACTGTTACATACTGTGTACGCTATCTTGGAAATATCTTTAAAGGTCACAGATGTATTTCTTTTAGATTAGCTGTTTGCAGGCTGGGGTTTTTAATGTCTTTTGGAGGATTTTGTGTCCCAATTTCAAAACAGTTCTTAGTTAACTAACTAAGAACTTTCACTATTTGTTTTTACTATAAACGGTAATAATAGTGACAGTGCTCATTAGGCACCAGCTTCAGTTGTGCTAGGAAAGTGAGTACTTCGTCTAGAGATCCTAAATACCATTTTTTCTTTAGAGAGGTGTTAGCATGTGATGGCAGTCTTTCTGCTATGCATCTTTGGAAATATAAGGCTCTTTTATATTCAGCATGCATTTTACCTGTCGTTGAAATTTGTAAGAAGCAACAAAAGTCACTGCTTTCTTTGTACTTGTGCAATCAAAACAATGCTCTGAACTCAACACTCCAGAGTATCAGAGAACCACTGCTGCAGCAAATAAGTGTGCAGCTCTCACTGTGGTCCTACAGATTCTCCTCTGCTTGTTGTCATCTGATAGTGTCAGGATACAGAGCTAGTTATCTTGTAGTTAAAGTAGCTGTGGAAGCTACTGTCATATGTGATCTCATTTATGTCTCTGTGCCTCATCAACTGCTAATTGGTAACACGGTGAGATTTTAGTTCTACGAGGTGTAACAGCAGCAAACCTGTTTTCTTGAGCAAGCAGTCTGATGCTGCTGTGTAACATCCCTGGCTTTCTGCCCCCTTTCTAAATCTTTTCATACATGCATACAAAAATAAAACAAAGAACACAGGTAGAATTGTCATGCAAACATTGTCATTCTAAGAAGGTCTGCTGGAGACAAAGTTGGGTCTAACAAATGCTTATGTTTCCCCAGTGTCCGAAGTGCAATATCTGTATTGAAAAGAATGGAGGCTGCAATCACATGGTGAGCAGTTCCCTGAACACACCAGATCTTTCTTTCTCTAAGCAGAATTTTTTTCCACTTTCCACTAACCAGTGCCTCCTGTCTTCTCTTTCAGCAATGCTCCAAATGCAAGCATGGTAAGTAAAATTTGGAAACAGTTTTCCCAGCAATGTGTTTCAGAGATGTTCTCTTTTTGTGTGCAATGAAGATGAATTGTGAACGCTGACTGCAATATTTTTCCCCTCATAAAATGTGGACAAGGCACTAAATTACAGACTTGTGATAGCCTTTTTTCCCCTCACTGGCCGTAATTTTGATTAGCTTCTGGTTCAGTGCTAGTTTAACTCCTTCTCCCTGACATCCATTGTGTAGGAAAATCTCTGTCTGTGCCGTAATACCAAGAGTGGAAAACATCCCAGAGGAGAACATGAAATGCTTTCCCTGTAAATCTACTGATTATCAGTTGAAGATACTGGCTATCTTCTCAGATCAGCTTAGGTCCTTCTGGTCTCCAATGGAAATAATGAGACCCAACCCAGATGAAACTGCAGGAGCTGTGAACTGTTCTGCATACCATTCTCTATTGGACTGCTTAGTCCATCGCTGTGCATTGAGCAGCCAGATGTCTGTGGACCATTGTGTGCTCCTCTAAAACAACAGCCTGTTCTTTTGTAGATCTTTTCATGGCAGAAATAATTCCTGTTGCCTTGGAGCAAAATAGTTTGTGTTCAGGCTCTCTATATTAAGTGTGCTGCTAGGAGATATTATATTATCAGAACCTTATTTGGATGATGATTAAAGACTGCTGTCCTCTCTCATTTCCTTTGCGTTGGGGTCCTCAGCAGCACTGGATGTGATTTGATGGAGCTCTGTGACAAGAGTGAGCAAGCAAGTGCCAAGGTACCATGGTGACTAGCATTCAAGAAGGCTGGTGAACTCTGGAAATGCCAATTTCAGTCCCTTAAAATGAGTGACACAAAGCGATTATTATTTTAGCAACTTAATCTCCATCTTTTTTCCTTTCCAGCAAAACACTCACAGCCTCGCTCTGAAACCAGGAAACTGTTATGTGGGTTTTGCTATTGTTCTCTTTCTTCCACTTTCTTCCCAGTTCAGTGGCTCCTAACTTGAAGTGTCATTGACCACTGATATCTGAAGTCATGCAGGTAGTTTTCTCTTGGAGAGAGCTGAAGGCAGATTTTATTTGCATGAATTAATTCACTCTTGTGTTTGATTGTTCATATTTTATTCAACCAGAGATTCTCATGGTGCCGTATGCCAGAATGGGGTGGATGCAATTCACAAATAAGACAACAGCCTTCCTCTTCTTTAACCTGGAGTGACAGCCTATGCAGAGCACAAGTTCTGTGCATTGGTCTTGATGTACAGAATACAGCACTTCAAGGTTTACTTTGTGTAGTTGCACAGGAGGCTGTACAACGAAAATCTTCCAGACAGGCTGGTATTTTTGGCTCACTGTTGTGTTCTGTTTTGCAAGATGATACAAAAATGTATGTTTCTTGGCTTAGCACAAATAATGAGAACAGATGAGCTATGTCTCCTGAATCTTTTCTTTCTCAGCCTTATGTTTTTTTTATTCTGTGCATCATAGTGGAATTTCACTGTTTTCTGCAGACTTCTGCTGGATGTGTCTGGGAGACTGGAAGACTCACGGCAGCGAGTACTACGAATGCAGTCGGTACAAAGAGAATCCTGATATTGTAAACCAGAGTCAGCAAGCACAGGCCAGGGAGGCCCTTAAGAAGTACTTGTTCTATTTTGAGAGGGTAGGAGACATCTCTTTGGCCAGAGCTGCTGTAGCTTTTTAATGCTCCCTGCCTGGTGCAAAGGTCACTGCCAGCAATCTCCATGCAAGAAACTGCCCAAAGAGAATCTGTGCTGAATTTTCAGGCCCCGTTCTTTCTCACTCTGTGTCCTGCCCTGTGGGTCCTGTTCAAACCAGTAGTGTTATCCCTAAAGCAAATTATACTTGCTCTTGTGTTTCCTCGTGCTAGAGAAAATTGGTATTACCTGTGTGCCACTATACTGTTTTCCTGCAGGCTGAGTGCCTGCAGTAGATTAATAGTACTCCAATCATTTCCTTTCAGGACTGCAGAACTTTTGTTACTTGCAGCATATTTTCACTGAGACAAAGAATAAACGAACTGTTATGTTCAAATTCCTTTGGCTATAGCAAAGTTTTCCTAAAGGACCCAGAGTGCGGGGTGCAACTTTTAAAAAATGTGATTACATAATCTGTATGCACACAGATGTTTCAAAGCACCTGGACATACAATGTATTTCTAGAACAGCATCTCTGCAGGAGAATGTGATAGAGGTACAGTGCTGCTGCCCGTCAGTGCACTTGTTTCCCCATTAAAATGAATTTATTCTTTTTCATTCTATGAGCCAACTCCTCTGTTAAAATAAACGAGTTCATTCTTGGCTCACTAGACCAAACAGGCTTTGGGACATGGTCATGTTCACAGTGTGCATGTGGATGTTGGAGTTCACTGAACTCGCATTTAAGTGTTAATTTCAACTCTTGCCCTTTCTATAGAAATTGTTTAAGTAGAGGAATCACCATTACTATCTATCCTGTTGTACACATAGTCTTTGTGCAAAGAGCATTCCTACTCTGAGGAGCTGGGTTTGCCTCTTGCTCTTTCCTGCTGTCAGTCTGTTCTATACAGCTTCCACTCCTTGCTATTGGAGCTGCTGCCTTGCTGTTCTTTCCCACAGCATGTCTTGCCTTGCTGGACTCCTGCCCCACTTCAGTTTCCGCTTGCTAGAGCTTATGCTTTTATAGCAAAGTATTCTGGTCTCATACCATTTTTTCTTTTCCCTTCTCCCCACCCTTTGCAGTGGGAGAATCACAATAAAAGTTTGCAGCTGGAGGCACAGACATACCAACGAATCCAGGAGAAAATTCAGGAAAGAGTTATGAACAACTTGGGAACGTGGATAGACTGGCAATACCTACAAAATGCTGCAAAGCTACTTGCAAAGGTGGGTAGCTGTGGCTTGTTTAGCAGAGAAGAGAATCCATGCACATGAATGCTAATTTCACAGTGCATAGTGAGAGGAAGGGAACTTGGGGGGGTTATGGGTATGTGAAACTGTACCTCTAGTCTAGGCTGTGAACTAGGCAAAAATCACCTGGAAGTGACCTCTGGGAAGACAAAGTATAACTGAATTTTTCCAAGGATGATGAGAGAAGCTGCACCATGAAGTGTCTAGTCATCCTTATCAGAACATAGCTTCTTTGTAGTGGTTATGCGACTGACTGTGCTGACTTCAAAGTGTGAGACTCTTCTTGTTTTCTCTCTCTTCTCCCTGGACCCCAACAGTGTCGTTACACTCTGCAGTACACATATCCATATGCCTACTACATGGAGTCTGGTCCCAGGAAGAAACTGGTAAGGTGTTTTGCACTTTTTTCACTTACTGTTTGTCTGGGGGTGTTTAGCTGGCAGCATGCTGGGCTGAATGAATAGCCAAGCATCCGCATTTAATTCCAGAGCTTGTGCATCTGAAATACAAGTACTGAGTTTGAGGAAAGTGCAGGACAAGACTGTGCTTTTGCACCTTTCTTCTTTGCTTCAAATTGATCTGCTGCTCAATTGGTATTTTCCTTTGGCAACACTACATTTTAACTAATAAGCACTTTGTCCAAAAAATTTTGAAGCTGGAAAATGTGAGTTTGTTCTTTGGTGGGACTATAACAGGGCTGTGGACTGTATTTCCCACAAATTGCTGCTGGAGCATAGGTTTTCCAGCCTGGAATTGGTCTGTAGCTCTGCCTTTGATTCCCACTGCAAGTTCTTGGCAAGCTGGAACTTTCTATGGGCTGGATATGTCCCAGAATAGTCTTGAATTCATTGAATATGTTGATTCTTTGACTCAGTAGTCAAGTAAAACTTGTTCTCCAATCTCTTCCCATAGCATGTGTATTCTCTCAGGCTTTGACCACGTTTTATTTTCTGTCTCACTGTGCTGGTAGAACAAGCTACTGCTCCCAGCAGTGGTTAGTAGTCCCTCCATTGTGCCCGCAGAGCTGCTCACAAGAGCATTTCCTGACCTGCTTATTGGCAAAGTGAGCTGAGTTAGCAGATATTTGTCACTTTGAGTGTTTCTGAACTGATATGATTAACTTTGAGTGATGCAGACTGGGGAGTATTCACACCAGGAACCTCCTGCAAGGCATGTGTAGCTAAAGATGGATAGGGAGGAGGCACAAACCTGCTCTTCCAGCACTGCTGTCAGCAGAACTCGTTTGTTTGCTCCTCAAACGTAGCAGGTTGAACGAAGCTGTTCCACTAAGCTAGTTTCTTGATGCTAACTCTAATTTTGCTGCTTGCAGTTTGAATACCAGCAGGCCCAGCTGGAGGCTGAAATTGAAAATCTCTCATGGAAGGTGGAGCGAGCAGACAGCTATGACAGAGGGGTGAGTTCAGCTTGCTTGAGCCTGCTGGCCAGATTTTGTTAATATCAGGCTTAGCACCTCTGTGGGAGAGCCAAGGCGGTTAAGTGAGAGTGCTGACATACTAGATCCAGAATCTCACTTTTCTTCCTCTTGCTGGTGGATGTTGTGGAAGTGGAGCGCTCACTGCTTCTTGGGAGAGGAGGCAGGGCTGGAAACAGAACCAACAAAGCTTTGGAGGAAGCTGCCCATAATAGACCTCTGGTTAAGTGTGGGTTCCTGAAGTGTGTAGCTTTTTAGATAAAGAGCCATATAACTGCAGAGTGAGCCCATGTTAAAAGGAATGAGGGCTGCAGTCTTGTGATTCAGAGCATATGTGAAGTATGAAGGTTGGTGATTGTCAGATTATTTGAATCCCTGAGCAAAAAAATTAACTCATCTCTGGGGATCTCACGCTAACTATTTCTGCCTTCTGTTCTACCAGGACTTAGAGAATCAGATGCACATAGCAGAGCAGAGACGGAGGACCCTGCTGAAAGACTTCCATGACACATAAAACAGGAGAAAATGACGAAGTGCAGGGGTGAGAGCAGCAAGTGAAGTGATGGCAGCTTCACCGGGATAAGCAGGCACTGCCTCTGGGAGAACACGGCCAAGGACAGAGCCACCCCTCCCCTTGCGAGTCAGACACATGCAAACATCACATCTTAGTCCAGTTTGTTCTCTTATCTTTCTGTTTGTTTCCGCCATGCTAGAGGCCAGAGCTCAGATTGGCGTGTTTCCTGGGACATTTCCCTCCTGCGCTGAATGGTTTCAGAAGGGAAGGGAGTTTTTCTCTGAATGGCTGTTAATAGTATTAGATCAATACAATTTATGTAATTTTCAACGGTTGTACAATTATACAGACAAACCTTAGAATAACACACAACCCTTTTTAAAAATAAATTGGCAGTGGAGTGTTTTTCCTTAATCTGCTTGTAAATTTAATGGGCTTTTCCCTCTCTCCTCCTTCCATCCTTTGAACCAAAAATCCTCCTAGGCGCTGAAGGAGGTTGCAAAATAACTCACGTAGATTTCCTGATGCTCCTTTAGCCAGGACATTGTAGCATTGGCATTGCATGAGGAGAGTGGCTGGTGCTAAGAATGGCTGCTGCTGTGTCTGATCTGGCAGTACCAGCAGTGTCTGTGACTTAGTCTGATTACATATGACGTCTCTTCTTGAATATCAGCTGTGCAAAATCTTGCTACACAAACAAAAACAAGCAGAGGAATTGTAGGGGAGAGAGCAGGTTATTGCTAAGCCAGGTCAGATTCTGCATTTGATAAATTTTAGGTCTTCCATATAGATTTTTTGCTTTACTTGTTTTTGTGGGGAGGGTGTTGTATTGCCAAAGTGAGTGATGAGGGAATAGTAGCATACAGATGTTATCAAGGCTTGGGGCTTTTGCAGAGTGAAACAATCCATGTCATAACAGCACCATGCAATCTGGTAAAGAATATTTGTGCCTACTGGGTGACATGGTTGAGAAAAATTTGATCCCATTAATTGATATGAAACTGAACTCCGCTACTTTATGAGGAGCAAATATTATGTACAACTCCCTGGCACATGTTGGACAGGCACTAAAATGCAGATGCACTGGTTGTGCAGAGCCTGCACCAAGCCAGGCAGACAATTAACTTGCAAAATTAATTTATTTGTATATTAGTATCAATACTGGTGGGAACTTATCAGATAATTGATTGCTAGGAGCATGTGGAGCTTTTTTATTAACATTCTTTTTTCTAATGTAAAATATACACTAAAATAAAATTATGAAAGCCTAATTCATCTTAGTAGAGGTTAACATGAAAAAGGTTAATTAAATGCTGATGCTTGCCTCTTTGCTATAGGAAGCAGGCCACGTGTTAAGATTTCACAAGCATGTATGTCACCTGCACCAGGAGCACGCTGTACACAGCCAGTGAAGGTGAAGCTGGAGTGTCTGATTTGAGGAAATCACTTCTGTGGGGGACTTGTGGGGTTCTCTTCCATGCTGTATGTGGAAGCGTAACCTTTGATGCATCCCTGTGTGTTGTTGTTATACAATTTCACTTGACAAAGGTTAAACTGAAGGGGAAAAAGTACTAAATTTGTGCATGTCCAAATAAGCTAACTGCTGTTGGAGCCTTTCTCATGTACCTGAGATGTGTGAGCCAAGTTTTTGCAGCATGTATAATTGGGCAGATGGATTTGAACAAGAGATGCTTGGTTTAAGAAAATAGCTGCCACCGAAGCTAATCCTGTGGCCATGCTTGCTCGTGGTGGAAAATTTCCATCTGAGAGGCCTTGCTCTTTCCATCTCCCCTCCCTGCTGTAGGATGTCTCCTCAGGAACGTGCCGCCAAAGCGCTGCTGGCAGTGGAGCAGGGATAGGAACAGAAGCAGCACCTGTACAAGGTCTCCTATGTTTCTGCTCTGGGCTGTTTTGGCTCCCATCTGGGCTGAAGCCATGGGGTAGGTATGTCCTTGCTCCAGCTACTGCCTCCTGAATTCTTCATTCCCTCCTCTGCTCCCAGCAGCAGCATCTTGGTGCCCTGCTCAGAATATATTCCAGAGATTGGTCAAATGTACCTTTCTGTCCTCCTCCTAAATGCTTCTCAAAATTTGGGACACAGAGCAAGAAGTAGCTCAGGGGAGAGCTTGCTGAGACCCAGCAGTTTGCAGTGTGTTGAGGTAATGTTTAAACTGTTCTTTGAAGATTTTAGCGGGCAAAGTAATAATCTTTACTAGGGATAAAAGCTGGTGTTCTTGTTTAAATGTAACTAGCATAATGCCCGGTCTCTCTGCAGAACAGATACTTGGTGTTTCCTAATCCCAAAGAGCTCTCACTTTCTTACATAATTGCCAGGCTTTGAGCTATACTAGAATGGGGTTTTGTCTCTCTCCACCTCCTCTTTGCCTTTCTCCATTGCCCCCACAAAATGCTTTGCCATGAATCCTTGTTTGTAGAAAAACTGGACTATGTAGCAGTGGCCAAATGTGCTGAACAGACTGCTGAGATGTTGGCTGAGGAACGGTGCTACATGTTGCACTGAGTGCCCCTTAATTCTTTCAGAATTTCTGAAGCTTTAGCCAGCAGTACTGTTTGCTTTCAAACAAATCACACCCTTTTTTAGGGTGGTGGTTGTCCTGGTTTGCACACACAAATCCCATTTCCATGCTCTCTGGGAAAACAACAGCACTTTGTTGCTGTTGCAGCCCAGGCAGGGTGACTGCTGTATCGATGTCATGCAGAGTTACAAACTCCAGGACAGAACCTGCAGAGCACAGGGAGCATTGTCTCTTTGTGTAAAGTGGCGCTGCTTGAAAGGCAACAACAGGAAGGAGTTGCAGTACCGATAGACAAGGCTAAGTTTTTCTCCCTTCTAACGGGTACGCAGCCCTATTCGAGTCAGCAGGGTTATGTGACCATAGGTGCTCAGTGGCTCAGGAGCCATTCATTCAGAGGTATAAAATTCCCTTTGATGCATTACTGCTACAGATGTGGAATGTTTGCTCTTTTCCTTTCTGCGTTTGTCTCCGCCTGCCGTCTCTCCATCCGTGCATCCGGCGCTCTTCGTTTCGGCTTTGCTCGTGTTGTGCTTTGGCTGCCTCACCTCTGATGGTCCTCAGGCTTCCCAGACTGTAACAAAAACTTTTTTACTGATAACATAAACTGCATGACTGCTGCTCTGTCCTCGCGTAGGGCCGGGGGCAGCAGGAGGTTTCTGTACTATAGCCTCGCACTCTACATTTTAGACTTTTTAAGCAGGTGAAAAATAGAACTTTATTTTTAAATGAGGCACTGGTTCTGGGAGTTCCTTTCCTCGCCCCGCTCCGGTTGAGGTCGCGGGACAGTGCCGGAGGAGGCTGCCGCGTAGCCGCACACGCCGCAGGAGGGCTGCGAATCTCTTTCCTCCTCTCTTCTCTTTGCGGGCACCGGATGGGGGCGGGGGCGGCGGTAACCGCCCGGGAGCCGATTGCCAGACGCGCTCCCTCGGTTTATTTGCAATAAATTGTGACTTTTTCACTTCGGACGCCTCCCGGCTCTTCCTTGGCCTTGGAG